AAATGGAGGAACTCTGTAAAAAATGGCTGTAATTCCTAAACGGTTAATGCAATATTTTTGTTAAACCCCTTGAATTAAAGCTGAAAGTCTACGCTTCAGTCACATCTTGACTGCTTCCTTTCAAATCCACTGTGGTGGTGTACAGAGGCAAAATTACCAAAACTGTGTCACTGTCCCAATATTTATGGACCTGACTGTAGATAATATTACTAGAATAGCCTTTTCATCACAGACGTATTGCTAAGAGAAGAAATATAATGCCATTACAAGAATCAGAAAAAATAGTTCATCCTCTTGTTACCTATAGGTTGGACTACTGTAATGCCTTGCTGTCTGGATGTTCCAGTAAGTGCATAAACAAGCTCCAGTTAGTCCAGAATGCAGCAGCCATAGTCCTTACTAGAACCAGAAGATCTGACCACATCACCCCTATCTTCTCAAGACTACATTAAAATTTCACGTTGATTCTAAAATACTACTAAAGACCTATAAAGCACTGAATGGTCTCAAGCCATAGTGCCTAAGCGAACTTTTGATCTTTCATGATTCTGTTCTTTTATGAGTACCTAGAATAATGAAGACTACAGCAGGGGGCAGAGCTTTTTCTTACAAAGCACCACAGTAATGAAACAGCCTTCCAATTAATGCTCATGACTCAGACACAGTCCCAGTGTAGCCTGAAAACCTATTTCTTTAATTAAGCCTTTTGTTAATAGCTCTTCTCTTGGGTAAAGGCGCAGATCTGGAGGGTTCACGGGCACACCGAGTTCTGGTAAACTGGGGTGTTTGGATGCTGTTGCCCCACACTTGCTAAAACAGTTAATGCTCAAGTCTCATTCATTATACAGTGGATAACTTCACTTGGATACTTTAGACTTAAAACTAAAACTCTAATGAAATCAAAAAAGACCCTGCTGCTCATACTGAAGAAGCACTGCTTGATTCTATAGTATACAGTTATGGAAGAATAATGATTTATAATGGGATGGGTTTCCTTTTGAGTCTGGTTCCTCTCAACGTTTCTTCCTCATGTCCTCTCAGGAAGTTCCTTACCATTATCACCTCTAGCTTGCTCATTTGGGATAAATCTAAATCAATATCCAGATATCTGTAAAGCTGCTTTGTGACAATGTGCATTGTTAAAAGCATTATATAAATAGAATTTATTTGAAATGAATTGAACACATTTCAGACAAATGGTAACACATATGCACCTTACACAAGGCATATGTGGACCCTTACTTTAATTTGCTCTAATGGGTTTTATTGATCTATTACATGTTCACTTGTTAATATGTCATTTTTGTTCTCATGCACTTCAGTACACCTTCCTCACCTCGGTCATCACTTTGTCCTGGCACTTCTTCACATATTTGCCATCAGCCTTCACTATGGTCTGTAGGAAGCGTAGGTATGGGACACGGCGGCCATGTGTCTCCATGCAGTGTACAAAGTGATGCACCACACGGTCACTGATCTCATTACACAGGTGATAGTTGTTCTGGAAGATGTAGCGCATGGTTTTTGCCTCCAAAAGCTGTGTGAAAGGGCCAAGAAAAGCATCATGAGCAATCCACAGCTAAAAACTAATAAATAAGTGGAAAACCATTTTAGGTTACTATTGCCTGGGCCTCACTAAATTTCAGCATATCAAGATAAGTAAAACCCTCAGACACATGGCTCA